GCCTGTAAATACATCCAGTCTTCTCTGATAACACACTACTCATATTCCCAGTGTAAACCAGTCCGCATGGATGCCTTCTGCAGACTAACAGCTGTAGTATTCTAGCACACCTCTGCTCCTCTCTGCACTGTGATGCTCTCTGCTCGAGGTCAGCCCAGGAGAGCACCTGAGCATGGCAGGAATGCCAGGGAGTATGTGGGTCCACCGTCTCCCTTTCCATCCTTGGTGCAGTACCACGGACAGCAGGTAGAGGTTGCTGCAGGACCATTTTAGGCCTCCTGTGTTCTAGGCTCCAGCCCGGCTCCCCACTGGCCCATCTATCTGCTCCCTCCTCTCTCCTCTTCCCTCTCTCCTCTCTCCTCCAGCGCCTCTGCTCGCCCTTCCCCCGTCCTGCGCCTCTGCTTTGGATTCCCCTCAGCTGTGGACCGGTGCTGGCAGGAGGAGCCTCCATTCACCCGCCGCTCGTGGAGGAGGATGTGGGGACAGTGAGGAGTGATACAGCCATGGAGACGGGAACCTGTGCTCCTGGACTGTGGATGTAGAGGACGCCGGGGAGGACAGCCTGTCTGTGGATTCTTACTATAGCCTTTTTTTCCATCCAACCGAATGGGCTCATGAGGTGCATCCTAGATTTTACTACCTTTGTCATCCATGTCTTTCCGTTTTTTTGGGCTATGCAGTGCTTTGCCTCGTATCTCAAATGATGTGAGGATTCTTCATGTAACAGTCCAGCTATGTTCATCTAGACTGTCTCCCTTTGTTTCCTCTTGCTGTCTGGGGACGTATTCACAATCTCAAATGCTGTCATTCTACGAAATACCAAATTTATGCAGATTTTTTTCCTAATCTTGTCATTCAGTTTGCTGTGTGCTCGGTGTGCAGCGGGGCAGCGTGCATAGAGATGTCTTTGTAACGGTATGCTGCATGTTGCCCTGTATGTCTGACGCTAGGCTCCTTTTAGCAGATAGGCCCCATGCTGGCGGCGGTGGACTTCGGCGCTTATAAGAATGAAAGATGAGGTGTCATTTGGTACTGCATGGCATCTGGAGGTATTAGCGGTGCATTGGGGGTGTGAAGAAGGTGATGACTTCTCCTTATATAGTTCCCCAGGGAGAGAGAGAGGATTCATCCACTATAGCACTTGTGGAGCATAGGTAGGAATGCTTATGGCGCTCTCCAGGCTAGCTTGGGGTCTTTAGAGTTAAGTCGGTTTGTCTTTTTTAAGTTTTTGGATTAAAGGGGCTGGTGACTAGGGAGGTGGCAAGGGAGTCTATAGGGTACATACTGACTACAGGCCTACAGAGAAAAAAATAATTGATTTAAATATGATTTATCTAATGTAGCTAATATCAGAATAGTGAAAATATTGATTATTGCTTGGGTTGCTCTTAACTTGTAGCTCTAATCAAGCTAATAATTTACATATTATTACATACAGTTACATATAATGTTACTTTGAAAGTCTTTTTATGGTAATTTCAAAAAAAGCTTTTGACAATGTTGCAAAACTGTTTCCCAAACATACCTAGAGTTGTGTGTAGTTTCATTAATCCATTTTGAGAAATTTAATATTTAGTCCACTCCTTTCCCTCTTATTAGGCAAAATGTTATGCTATGTTGCACTAGCTGATGTCATGTTTCCTGGAATTGCTCCTCTGTGTTTCTAAAATCAATACACCTTTGCTAGATTTGTCTGAATTTCAGTGTTAAAATTTCCTAAGCATCTCTCTAGAATCTCTTTTACATGGCATTGTTTTTAGCCCAGCTTTAATTATTATATATTTAAATTTTTATAACATTTAATTTGTCTTTACACACACTGATTTAATGGTTGAATCTATTCTGCTCTTGTTGTTCATAGAAACATCACAATACCAGATTTTAATGTTATGATTACTGTAAGAAAAAGAAAAAAAAATCACAGTTTTACAATTATTGACACCATGACTAATAACAGTAAAATCCTTATAAGTCTTTTATTCGTACTGATCACTATTCCTTTATAATGGACAAACTTTATGAAATCACACTCTCTGAATGATAAAGTAAAGTTAATTTTGTGAAATAAACTTATGGATGACTTTTTAAAATATACTAGTAGACTGAATTGAAATGTCAAATTAGTACGTTTTGCTTCTAAAAATGTCCCAGTTATTATTATTTTTATTATATTGTGACCTGAATATGTATAACTATCTTGAAATGCATAGTTGTTTATTCATTCATATATTAGAACATCCAAATAAACAAATAAATGGAAAATATGTGTTGAGAAATATCCTGGGAATATCTCTTATATCAACAAGCTTGTGATTCATAACTCATATTTACAGCAGTGCATGACTCAGAAAGTTCACAGCTCCTGTTTGCTGCTTCCAACATAGAACGTGTAAGTAGTTATCTGCTGAGATATAAAAGTATGGTGTCTTTTGAGTTTATTGTATTCACATAGTTTTGTTTTCATTTTGACAAAAGCAGCTTTCTCTAAACCAGTATCAAGACTTCTTCTCTTCCTTGTGTGAAGTAATGTTATTCATGACTTATTCATAGGCTGTATACTCTGCAGATGTTTGTTCTGTTGCTTATTGAGTGTATTATGTTAACCCGACTGAAATATTTAAAGCCACTGTAGTTGCTTATGGCTGCCCCAAAGTCACACGCACCTTGGCAAAATTCATTCTGACATCACTGTATATGGGACCCATCTCCTTCTAGCCCCTACCCCCACCGGTGAGAAGATTCTGCTCTTATTGCTCTCTTTTTCTTTATATAGTATTATTAGTTTCAAGGTTTCTTGGTGATGAATAATAGCACATCAAAACGTTTTCTGTATTTTGAATCACATTAGATGCATTTCAGTGCCAATGCTAATGAACGTTTGCCATCAAGCTAGTCAGGAATTTATTTTAAGAATAATAAGAATAAGTTCTAAGAATTCTAAAGCCTGTCCCTGAACCCTGTATTTTAGCTAATGGCATTTGCCCTAATGAAGTGCAAATTATGATCATTTTAACATGTTTTGAAAACATATGGAAAAAGTCATGTGACAGAAACTGATATAAAGGCACCATATGGTGGCATAGCCAATCCTTATTTATGAAATGTTTTACAGTGTATATCATTTTTGGATCGTAATGTCTCTTACTGCCCACATTTAATGTTTAATCATTTAGATTCAGGAAAATATACCATTCACATGTGTTTAACAGTATGTTTACTAGAACAGGAACTTTATTATTTTTTCTTTCTTTTAAAAATTGGATGTGTGATTTCCTGCTGGATAATAAAAAAGTTACACTCTTGTGTAGGGCTGAGCAATTTGGCCAAAACTGGCTGATTTTAATCAAAGTCAGAGCTGTGAGTGTTTGTCTTTCAAACAGGGGAAGATCTTTACATTTTCATTCTTATTATATACTATTTTTTCATGGTTTATTTATTTTTTTATTTATTTAATAAGACAGGGACACTGTACAGTATTTATTAACCTTAACAGGAGAGATGCATTCTACCAGGTTGTAGCACCAGTGCTAATTTCCACCTATAGTCCCTGGGCAGGTTAATTGATTGTATTTAATTGACTTTAGCTATCAGCTATTCTTCCTGGAGACCTATGTAGCATGTTTTGGGTTGATGGGGGAAACCAGTGCGCCTGGAGGAAACCCATCCAGACACAGGGAGAAACATGCAAACTCCACACAGAAAGGCCCGGGTGACCTTCTTGCTGTGAGGCATGAGTGTTAGCCAGTCAGCCATCATGATGCCATATTTAACAAACTGTAAACTTGCTTCAGTTACATTTGTAGAGATAATCTATTTTAAACAATTAAAATAAGATTACTGGTATATGAAAAAAGAATGTCAGGAGTAAATTTTTTTCTTGATTTAATGATTTTGCATTTTTTCTAAATCTTGATTGTTAGAAACATGAATTAATTGGATTGATTGAATTAATTGTACAGCCCTAGTCTTGAGTTACTTAAATGTTATCCATAATATATTTTACCAGTGCTTCCTGAATTGTCATTATAAGTAACTCAACAATCCTCTTAAAGCCATTCAGACTTTATACACATCCAAGTCAAATGGAGCCCATAGCTTCCCTCTAATCCATCCTCCTGTCTGCTTCTTATTATTACACAGCCAACTCACTCACATCAGCAGGAAACCTTTAGTCACATGGTTCAACAACTGACCTCCAGTGACCACCCGCTTCTGAGAGGTTTGATCTCCTTCCAAAAGCCAAGGTGTGCCAAAGCAGTTTCTCCCAGAGGCCATTAGGAAACCACATTTTCTGCAATAACTCACTTTCCTTCACAAGTACATTAAACTGTTCAATATGTACAGCACTTTATTGACTTGCGTTTGTCTTTATGATGTTTTCATACACATTTATAAAACCATTTGGTCCCAAATCATGTCTTGTGTATTTGGGCTACACAATTAATTAAAATATAAAATTGCAATTTAAATGTCTGTAATTAGCAAAAGACAAACACAATTATTTAAGCGACAGAATCAGTAGAGAACACTCCTGTCTCTCTGCTTGGTAGTACTTATAAAACTGGGAGATATTACAATACAAATTCAATTGTAATCAGATCCACAACACAATCATACAGTGTTTCTCTATTTAATGCAGCACTATGCTCAAACACAACTCTTAGTTCTCTCTCTTAGTGAGTGACAGGTAGATTTAACAAATTACAGTGAACATTAAACTTTCAGAAGAAGCAGATGAGTTTACTACTTACGTCACTTCTTAAAGCCAATTCCCTTGATCTTGATTTTTTAATTCAGTATTTTCTTGATCTTGCTTTTATCAAATGCTTATTTATAAAACCACTTTGTCCCATATCCTGTCTTACATCATCAGAGACACTTCTAAGCCTTCTGTTTGCATTTCTGTGTCACTTCTGGAGGAATACCAGGCTCTCTATGGAAAAGGCTGATTCCACATGCTAGTGCTAATGGGCTAATCTCTTCCCTGTGTTTGCGTCCAGGGGGGGTGGTTGACAAGGATTTGCGGCACTACCTCAACCTGCGCTTCTCCAAGGGCTCTGTGGACCACGACCACCAGCAGATCATCCGAGACAACCTGTACCTTCGCACCGTCCCCTGTGAGTACCACCCACACTTTTACATTACAACAAGGCAGTATTTGCTGTTTTTTTATCTGCTTTTCATTCATATTTATGGTAGTGAAATAAAAACGGCTGTGTTTTTTAAGGATGGCTTTTCTGATTGGTCTATAGCCCGCTTTATAATTGATGTCACAACCTTAGACTAACAAACCTGCACATGGCATGTATTCTACATTTAAACATGGGACATAGCAGGTTTGCTTTAGCACATGTTTGTCTAAGGGAGTATCGCATTAAACTTTGCAATGTGATCTCACCATCTATTTTCAGCAACGATGAAAAGCACTTCTTGATTTGAGTTTTTGTTATATTTCAAGGTCTTGTACCTGACTGTAACAGAACTAAATAATATCACCAATTCATTTTGAAAGGAATTTTGTATCGATAACCTTATACAAGCTTCTGTGACTTGTCAGGGTTCAATGTCAGAGTCAGAGTTCACTGTTTTTAACTTATGACTTTGTTTGAATTATGTCTTTGTATGTCTTCTTGTTTCCTGATTTTAAAAGCTTTAGAATCTCTGAGATAGATTTAGTAAGAATAATAACTAATAATAATGCATTAGTCTCATGTAGCACATTTCCAGATGCTCAAAATTGGCACCTGGTATTCCCAGTGGTCTCTCATCCAAGTACTAACCAGGGCCCCCCTTGCTTAGTTTATGAGATCTGATGAGATCAGGTTTTGATGTGGAAATTTGGCTTGGAGAAGGATGTAGCACAAATTTTTAAGAAATGGTCTAAAAAGTATAATTATTTAAATAAAAAAGAAATCTAAACAATATTTATTTCAATAGTCTAACATGCTGTATCAGTAGATTATGCATTTGGTTCTGGATGAGATGATGAGTATATTAACAGGGATATCAAGTTATTTGTGCTGGGTATGCATGGTGGTAGATAACTCAGCTCAACAAAGTGCCTCTCCCTATAACTGGGTATGTAACTGGGTAATTGGCTGTATTCTGGGTTCCCTGTCCTTTGCCTTTGATTATAAAATGTGCCCTTGTGTAAATTCAAATTCTTGTGTATGAAAGCCATTTTGTTTCAATTTATGCTACTTCACTGGTAGGTCCCAAGCAGTTTGAACGAGCAAGCTTACCTTTAGGCACAGATGTTTCTTGGCAAAGACAGTATTATAAAAATGGTTGGAAATGGTTGTGGATGCATTCCAAAACATTTTTATTTTCTGAGAATTGCCCCTTTACACATTTTTTAAATTGATCTGTATTGTGAATTTTCCATCCATAATTTGTATAGTACTTTACAGTCATCATTTACTCTTACCCTGTCATACATTACCACCTCATCTCTCTGCGTCTCACATCTATTACTCTTTCTTCCCCGTCAATCGTTCGGTTACTGCGCTCTCAGCCTGAGGTTTCCACGGCAACCACCCTCTTGTCTCCGAGCCCCCTTTCACCCCTCCTTCCCCTTCCGCTCAATCTTGCCATGCACCACGGACGTCCACATATGATAACGCCATCATGTTTGCACCATTTGAAGAAGCTATTTACACGCTGGACACATAGAACAGTACAATGCCCCAGGGCTGGCTGTCTGTGCTTTCAGCCTCTTGGCCTGTTGCATGGTGAGAGGGGGTGAGGAAGGGAGGGGGGTGTCATTGGGGTGATCGACATGCATAGCTCCGCCTCTTGCCAATACTAAAGCACGTCGTGAATCAGCTTCTCTGTAGAGTGGCAAAGCTTTTTCCCATTGACTGCTCCGGCGTGTGTGCTCTGTTGCGCTGTTTGTTCAAAGGCTTTATTTCAGCCTGACACGCTCCAGCATACTCCCCTAATAACCCCACACGTGCGCTCTGCTGTGCCAGAGACAGAGGTGAGAATGGCCTTTTTTATCTGCAGACATTAAGGCAGAACAAACTCGCAACTGCTCGACAACAGAAGAAAATTGCACAGTTTAAGATCCAGGTGGCGTCATAAATTTGATGAACATCGTGACGTGATAGTGTTGTGAAAGCGTATGGTTAATGGTTTTAGGGTTGCAAATGAAGGCAATATCAAGAATGCATTTACTTTCTCTATAGTGATGTTATTCTATTACCGTGCAGTTTTCCCGAATAGAGATTGTATTATAGTAAAAAAAAGTGGTCGCCAGTCCCAATTTTACTGTAAAAGACACATTACTTGAGGGAAAATGCTGTTTTTGCTATAAACATTTTATGTAATATTACCGGAAAAGTCATATCCTGTGTGTCAGTGTCCCTCAGGTTTAACACTACTAGCTCATGCTACATAAATGGCTCTAGCAGCTACTTAGCCAGGGGCTCTGCTGAGAAACACAGGTGAGATGCATGATCTAATTTGAAGAGATTCAGGGAAAAAAAGATCAAGTCATTTCCAGTTCACATGGTTTGTATGAGCACTAAAGTGCTATTTAAAGCATTCTTAAATGTGTATTGATTTGGGTAAAGATTTGGTTTAAAAAGACCATTGTTTAGCCTAGCTCTAACCTAGACAATATATTGGGGTAGAGCTGAGTGCTGAAACAATCAATCCAAGTTTAGTGACAGTTTCACTAGCAAGGACCATGTCACAACAATGGAATACAATAAGATGTTTATTGACAGCGGATAGACAGCTGAATTGAACCCTTCCCTCCTTGAAGATGACATCTTCGTACTGAATGATGAGCAAAAGACATGGGTGAGTGGGAGGGGGTCGAGTGAGCTGATGCGGATTGTGTTGTCAGGATAAGTCATATAAATAGGGCTTCTGGGAAATTGAAGGCATGGTTGAGATAAGATGTGGTTGGCTGGAGAGGAGGTTGAGGCGTGGTTCAGCTCCTGAATCTCAGTTAGTCATATCAACTCTATCAACTTTTGAAACCTAGAGTAGCATTAGCTGGATAACACGTGACACCAAGAAATGTAAGTTCGAGAAGTGTACAGATATACAACCTTGAAATGAACAGGACTTGAACAGGACTTGAACATGCATGAAAAAAACAACATTATTTCATAGTTAAGTGAATCTCTCCTGTTTTACCAGGCTCTTCTGGCCGGTAGTGCCTGTACTGGGGTAAAAGTGCAGTGACAGCTGGATGATGGACTCTGGATTACGTTCAACACTGCAGGCTCTAGTGCTGTCATGGCGGCTGGACTGTTCTGGCCCACTTTTTCACCAGTGACCATACTGCATTTAGGTCTTTGGAAAGCCACATATGCTGTATTATTTGAATGTCAGTCATGTGTAAACACAGATTTAGGTGAATTATTAATTTTGATTATATCACCAATGGAGTCAAAGATATTTAAAGGTGCACTTTGTAACTTCTCTGGTGAAGGGTCCACCATCTGCTTGTCTTCTGGTCTTTCTCAAAAATACCACACATCCACACAAAACATGCATTACTTCTGTCAGTGGATCAATTTTTCCACAGGTCTGACCTGGTGATGTAGCCTGCTTGTCTCCATGGAGAGAGTTAAATTAAATGCCATACTGTGGAACATTTCAGGAAAAAACACCATTGAGTCGAGCAGGTGGCGGACCCGAAAAGTTACACCGTGTACCTTTTAAGATAATTATTTTTGAAGACAAACACTTTATACTGTGGAGATGTCGTTCTTGTACAGGCTGCTCCTTTAAATGTATTACTCATTATTTGGCAAAGCTGATGTGGAATTCTATTATATAATGACTAATCCTATTCACAAATGCTCGAAGTGAAAAGTATTTATCTTCCATTTATTCAATTACAAACATTTATGTTGCTAAAAATACTTGGTGGCGTCACCTGCTTGTCTCCATGGAGATAGACAGGTTTAATGCCATATTGTGCAAAGGAATGTTTCACAGTGGCAGGCTCTCCACCTGAAAAGTGCTCCTTTAATTCTTAATTTGATGATGGTTGGTGTTTAATGTGCCTGATTATGAGATGGCAGAAGTGGGTATTTAGTGATGGACTTGTGCTAGAGAAAATGGAGCACTGCTTGGACTTGGATTAGATTTTTTTATAAGAATTATGCCACAGTGGACTATGGATTACATTAGTTGGTAAATTGGACAATGGCGGGTTGATGTTGCATGGGCTGGTGGTATGGTGGATGGTTAGGGTTGGTGATTAGAAGAAGGGATATGTGATATTCCAAAAATGTATGTTTTCTTGGAACCAGATCACGATTTCTATTTTATCACAGTTAATGTCATTTTAGCATACTTTAACTTTATATTGCCTTGTAGAGATAAATGCTTCTTCTGAGAGTTCATACTTCATTGCAATTTAAATCTACCTCTCTTACTTGGGATATTAAAGCTAAGCAAGAGGAGGAGTGGATGGGGATGGTGTCTATGTTTGAGCATAGAGCTGCATTCAAGACCGTGATTTTACCAAAGTCAGATCATCATAGAAGTGACCTCACAATTCAATCACCATATTGCCCAACCAGTCCTAACAGGAAAGTGGGGTAAACTTACAATAAAATGTTAATCTCAAAATATTTGGACTATTCTGAGAGATTATTGACAATGACACAGCAATTGCAAGTAGCTCTGGGAGCATGTGCAGCCTTTGCCTTCTGGTCTAGTGCTGGTTCACATCCTGCTTCTCTCCCTGGGTCTGTGCGCCCGTCCCTGGGTCTACGCGGCTCTGGGCCCGTCCTGTCACTGCGATCGCATCACTTTGATGAGCAGACGCCACTCTGCATCACCACTGTGTGTCCCACCCAAGGACAGGCAGAGGCCCTGGGCTCGCTGCACTGCACTCTTATAACACTTAGCCAAAATAACACCATCACGTGACAGGGGCAAACAATTTACAAGAAGATTGTAAATTGTAAATTGTAAATTTTAAAGAAGAGATTTATTGTCCAGGACAGTGTTGACTACTATATATTTGGGCTATAACAATATAAAAATCTCACTGATATGAAAACTGTACTACTGTACCAAGGACACTGCCAGCTCAGTCTTGTTATGTGAGCTATGTAATCTGAAGTTATAATACTATCTAAAATGG